GGCGATAAGCCGTTTCTCGACCGATCACGATCTTCTCTCAGAAATTCATAATTGACTGAACATGGCATGACATTTAATGAATAAACGGACATGAAAAGCTCGATAGTTTACTTCTTAACATAATCCATCACTATGTTCGGCCTGTGGGCTCGCGACGTGCGCAACCACGCCTCTCGGCCGAACTTCCAAACAACATGAACATACATCGGGCAACATAACATAATTGAACATGATATCACATAACTTAGCTAAACAGGACCTGCTTGCTCGAAGAATTTCTGAAATAAAACATGATGGCTTGACATGAACTCTACACACGGCCACATACGGAACATGACTTAAGACATGAACTTGACTTAAGTTACGATTGAACTAACTTATCATTAACATAATCAATTCAAAGGTAAGGTGATGTTACCTTTGCAACCCTCGATTGACCACACCTCCGTGCGAAGGGAAGCTCTCGGTGGTGCGTGCGATACTAGCCCTTGCCGTGCGTGCGATATGAAAGAACTTAAGGTAACTTGCTCACTTATCTAGTGCTGAACTTAATGGAATATAAGGGGAAGATATATAGTGCTGCAAAGTTGGGAAAAATCGTCCAAATGCCTCCCTATTTATACTAAACCGAAAAGGGCCAAATTATTTGGGAATGAGGTAGCATAAACGTGGCCTTTTCTTTGCTTGACATATGCTAGATACTTAGGTGTTTTATGGGTGACTAATCACCCCTTAAACTCCTACTTAATGACACGTGTGAATGCTTGAAATGGAAGGAAAATCTTTCCTTAAGCTAAAGACTCCTCACGGCAACATAATTAAGTTGGAAGAAACATCCACACTGCCTTAATATGCTAATTGTGATTAATTATCAATTAATCACAATTAAATGCTTAATTAAATTATTAAGCATAATACTTAATTACCAAAATTATTCCGAACGTAAACGGAATGTCGAAAATAATTTCGGGTAATCTCAACTGAAAATAATTAATTCCGAAAATTAATACTCGAAAATATTAATATATCGGAACTAAAACATAATTTATACTGATAAACTGAGGGGATATTATAATCTCCCTCTTTAAAAATTTCCGCCCTCGGAAATTCAAAGCATAACTGAATATACATGAATTCTGTACATAGAATATAAAATATGTACATCAAAACTGAAAATCTTGGAACCGATCGCGTATATCGGACTCCGCCTCCCAAGTAGCTCCGTGGCGATCCCACTGAATACGCACGAGGGGAACATCTCGTTTCCAGAGCCGACAAACCTGACGGTCTAATACGGCTACCGTCGCTCCTCGTACGAAAGATCTGGCTGAACCTGAATATCTGAATGGGGAATGACATGATCGGGGTCGCACACGTATTTATGCAACATAGATGCATGGAATACATTCTGAATGTCTGATAACTCGGGAGGTAGGGCTAATCGATACGCGACTTCGCCTACTCGCTCGAGAACTTCGAACGGGCCAATGAATCGAGGGTGCAGCTTCCCTCTCTTCCCGAATCGAACAACTCCGCGAATAGGACGAACCCTGAGAAAAGCTGGCTCGCCAACCTCGAACTGAATGTCTCGTCGATGATGATCGGCTGAAGATTTCTGTCGACTCTGAGCTGTCTTGAGTCTCTGTCGGATCAACTCGACCTGATCTGTTGTCTCCTCGATCAACTTAGGACCGAGTACTCGTCGCTCTCCGACGTCGTCCTAATAAAGAGGGGAACGACACTTGCGACCGTTAAGTGCCTCGTAAGGAGCCATCTGAATAGAAGAATGATAGCTGTTGTTATACGCGAACTCGGCGTATGGCAACAATGACTCCCACTTAGCACCCCTGTCAACAACCAAAGCGTGAAGCATATCCTCGAGCGTCTGAATGGTCCTCTCGGACGGACCATCTGTCTCCGGATGGTAGGCTGAAATGAACTCTAGCTTCGTGCCCATCGCCTCATTTAAACTGTGCCAGAATCGACTGACGAATCTGGGATCTCTGTCTGATACGATCGTAATAGGCACTCCGTGGAGTCGAATGATCCCACGGGTATATATCTCAGCCAACTTGTCCAAAGACATCTTCATCGAAACGGGTAAGAAATGAGCAACCTTAGTCAATCTGTCAACTACGACCCAGATAGCGTCGTGATGTTCAGACGACCTCGGCAATCCCATAACGAAATCCATCGTGACTTCCTCCCACTTTCACCTCGGAATCGGTAGTGGTTGCAGGAGGCCGATCGGACTCTGATGTTCGGCTTTGACTTGCTGACAGGTAAAGCATCTCCTGACAAACTCAGCGACGTCCTTCTTCATTCCGCGCCACCAGAATGACCCTTTCAGGTCATGATACATCTTCGTGCTCCCGGGATGAGCTAGATAGGGTGCGGTATGAGCCTCTGATAAAATCTCCTTCTGCAACACCTCAACTTTCGGGACCACGATCCTGCCTCTGAACTCTAGGGCACAATCGGCACCTAGCTGAAAACCCTCGACGCCTCCGGCGTGAACCTTGGCCTCCATGACACGAATGAACTCGTCAGAAGCCTACTCTCGCTGGATTCTCTCTCTCAGCGTCGGCTGAATCTGCATGGCACTGACACTGGCACCGACACTCCTCGAAATGGCTGTGGGAAGTGCATCGATCGCCTGAAGCTGCATCCGGGCAAACTCCTGAATCAACTGACTCTTCTGAGTAACGACGTACGTCAAGTCACCCCTCACCTTTCGACTTAGGGCGTCAGCAACGACGTTCGCCTTTCCCGAATGATATTGAATCGAGCAATCGTAATCCTTGACGAGCTTGAGCAATCGGCGCTGTCTCATGTTAAGCTCCTTCTGCGTGAAGATATACTGCAGGCTCTTATGATCTGTGAAAATCTCGCAACGTCCGCCGTAAAGATAATGTCGCCAGATCTGAGAGCATGAACAACGTCGGCTAACTCCAAGTCGTGCGTCAGATAATTCTGTTCATGCGGCTTAAGCTGTTGTGAAGCATACGCGACGACCTGGCCATCCTGCATAAGGACGCATCCCAAGCTCTGTCTCGAAGCATCGCTGAAGATGGTGAAACTCCGAGAAGGATCGGGAATAGTCAACACCGGTGCTGAAGCTAATCTCTTCTTGAGCTCCTGAAAGCTCGCCTCACAACGATCAGTCCACTCGAACTTCTCTGATTTCCTCGTTAGCTGGGATAGAGGGAGGGCAATCTTAGAAAAGCCCTCGATGAACCTGCGATAATAACGAGCTAGACCGAGAAAACTGCAAACCTCGGACGGACTCCTCGATGTCGACCAGTTCTGAACAGCTGAGACCTTGGAAGGATCCACCTCGATACCTGCCTGAGTAATAACATGACCCAGAAAGGCTACTCGCTGGAGCCAGAACTCACATTTGGAAAATTTTGCAAACAACTTTTCTCGTCTGAGGGTTTCGAGAACCACCCTCAGATGCTCCTCGTGCTCCTTCTGGCTCTTCGAGTAAATAAGAATATCGTCAATAAAGACAATAACAAACTGATCGAGGTAGGGATGGAAAATACAGTTCATCAGGTCCATGAAAACAGTTGGAGCATTGCTGAGACCGAATGGCATGACGACG